TATTATAATATTAATCTAATTATTATATATATATATAAAGAAATAAATTATAATAAAATTTATACATACACACATATACACATAGGACATATACATATGTGAGTATAAAATAAATAGAACAAAAATTAAGCACGAAAGAGAAAAAAACGCACAAACGTCATCACATTTCAATAAAATAATAATCAAATAAATCAATATAAATAGATACATATTAAATATATATATATTTAGACGTTAATGTAAAACAAAGATAAATAAAGTAAATAAAATAGAAATTAAGAGAAAAAGTAAGGAATTTAAAAATAAAATAAACGATCGAGAAAGAGGAATGGAATTACCAAAGAGACGTCACGATTTTAATTAAAAGTCTTCCATGTCGTACCATACTACGAATGAATCGACTTAATCGTTTAATGAGTATGAAAGATAGAAAGAGAGAGAGAGAGAGAAAAAGAATACAACGTTCCGGGATTTCGTCTCGTCCGTAAGATTTTAATGCGTCACAATCTTCTGAATCACTCGGCGAGATGTATTTTTGCACGTAACAACATACGACAAATTTTATTACACATTTTATCGAGTTATTGGATTGATAATTAATAATATCATAATTAATAATATTTTTAAAAGGTAAATTTTTTTTCATGAAGGTTAAATTAATTTGTTTTTTTCTTTTTATAATGAAATTTCTTAGGTGAAGGTAATCACAAAATTTCATGAAACGATGTGAAAACAGACGGAACACAGAAATAGAGAGAGAGAGAGAGAGAGAGAGAGAGAGAGAGAGAGAGAGAGTAAGTCAGATAGAATCGATAATGTACGATATGTCTTAAATGATTGTTAATTAATCGAAGGAAATGTATATTGTAGTTTAAAAACACGGAATATAAATTCGGTGCACCGTTCTCTTCAAAATCCTTCGTTTAACTTTCTCATATTAACTTTTGTTTATATATGACTTTCGGAAGGATAATTACGTTATATTATTTACGTTACACATATGAAGCTTTCGAAAAAAAAAAATTGTATAAATATAACAATCAATAAAAGAAATTTGTTTGACTTTCACGGATGTGACAACGAACCAGTCTAACAGTGGATTTTGAAGAAGACGGTGCATCGAACTTATACTCCGTGCTTTTAAACTATAATATACATTTCCTTAGATTAATTAACAATCATTTAAGATATA